TTCTCTCTGAAGAGTCACAATTTATTAAAAGATGTGGACTTTAAACATGTAGGTTAAGAGAAAGAAACATTTTAAAGAATAATACATGCAAAGGTGTTGGTATAGGCTTCTCAGAGAAACTTGTAAGTGTCTTGGCAGTAGACATATGTGTACTACTTGGGTGACTCTCAATTTATAGTTCAAAGGGGGACTAAGAAACTATTTTGTTCCTTTTATCACTCTTTGTTATAATGAGATTATAGGGCATCTCCAGAGGTGTCTGTGATAGGATTAAAATCTAGTAAAATAAAACCAGAAGCTATTAGGATTACACAGGCAGTTTAGGACATGTCTTGTACTATATATTGGGCTTTTGGGGAGGCCTAGAAAACTGTAGGTCTGTGTCTAGGAAAGGAGAAAATTCTGTTAACTGGGTTGGAGTTTTTTTTAGACTGACAAAAGGTTTCAATTCAACCAGACTCTGATAAGGGGACTCCTTTCCAATGTTCCCATAATTTCCCCCTATCCAGCCTGCCTCACTTTGGACTTTTCTCCTTTGAATATGTTCCTTTTTTTTTTAACTTGACATAAACAACTCTTCCCTTGTACGTACGTACCCCAACCAAATTTGTTATTCATCCTACCAAACCAGTGGGCCATACATGCATTCCCTCTGATGTCATTAGTGAAAAAAGGCATACACAAATATATTGATGTAGACAGATCAGATGGTATGGGAGGGGGAGAAATGTGTTTATTGGAACTGGAAGAGTATGCACCAATATACTGGGTCTTTGAGTTCAAATCCCAGCTGTGCACATATTAGCTATGTCCTTAAGTCAGATTATTTACTCTAACTCTCAACTGTCTCCTTTATTTTAACCCAGCTTCAATGTACTCTAATACCAAGAACTTTGGTAGGTATTAGATTTTAACTAATTGAATGGACTAATATAGATGAATAAGCCTGGGCCTAGAACAAATAAGTGATACATATCTAGATTTTTTCTAAGGAAGTGTCAACCTCCATGTTAAAGCAAATTTCATGTCATTTCTTGATAGATTTATACCATTTAACCAATAATTCACAAAATGAGACATGATTCCATATGCCTCAACATTCCTTTGAGACTAGTGCACCTATGAGATAACAGTATAGAGAGAGTACAGACATAGCATAACTCATGAAAGACTTCATGAAGGGTGATGATGATATGTTTTTCAATTAGTCTATTTGAATTGGCTACCATCTCTCCTTCCTTCCATTCTTCATTATCACAAAGCTCTTCTCTATCTGGCCACAAGCATGCTCAGGACTGGGGCTGCTTTGGAATGGATTCATATATTAACAAAAAGAGACTGTACTGTATGGAAATATAAAGACTGCAAGTTTTTTTTTCTCATTTATGGAACCTTAATTTAAAAGTGTGTATGTGTGTTTGGGGGATATATAAATGGGATCATGAGAAGAGAGAAAGAGATCTTAAGGGAGATGGGGGAATAGGTAATAAAAAAAAGTAATGGAACACATATAATATGAAAACAGAAAGAAAAAATAACTAGGGATAGAGAATGAAACAGCTGGGGTAAAGGGAGAGAGGATCGCAGGGAACATAGTGAAAAGGGAGAATGGAGGAAAACAAAATATAATTGCACAAATACATGAATTTGATATGGTGAAGCCATTACTTTTTATACTAACTTAAAAAAATGTAAGTCTATAATCTTGGTGAATTAAGGAACAGGAGTGTGGAAGCATCCAGCCTCTAGTTGGGAGCAATCTCTTCCATTACACAATTCTTAGAAAAGAACAATGTATCACTAAAAGTTATAAGTGTAGAATCTTATTTTTTCTTAACATAGTAAATCAGAAAGAACTAATACTTCTGGATCTCTCACACGATAAGACCCTGTTTCAGATGCTTTATGTAACAAATAATTCATAGAAACTTCATAAATAAAATTGTGGTTGTCAAGCCAGCTATGGATCTTTGGAGTTTTTGGTTTGTTTGTTTTCTGTATTATTTATTCATTTACATTTTGGAGTTTTGGAGCAAGGTCTCCCTATAAAACCCAAGCTAGCTTCAAACTTACTGTATAGCCCAGGCTGGCTTTGAATTCACAGTGAAACCCCTGCCTCAACCTCCCACTTGGCTATGAATCTTGAAGTTTACTTAATATTCCAAGCATAACCATTACGAATTAGAACACTCTAGGCCATATTATACCTGAGAGTTTTGAGACATTGCACTAGCACAGCACAATTATCTGTCTAACACAGCAGTGAGTTCCTCTGGATTAGTTACCATATATGCTGGTTCTTTGTAAAGAGGACTCAGAGATAGCTGAATCATTTCAGAGCGAAATGTTCTTCACCTTACTTCTCCTTATGGGTCAGATTTTTGTAAGCCCCAAGTCACTGTCAAGCATCACCATGAAAGCTTTTGTTTGTTTTACTTTATTTTAATAAAACAATGGAAACAGCCTTGGGAAAAATCTCATTGTGATATTCAAAGTATGTTAAGGACTATCTTGTTATACATAACAAATTTTTATTTATCCAGTGTCTCTCAGATTAGACCTTTGTGTTCCCCAAGCTTGAAGAAACACTCAAACAACATCCTTTCCTAAAGAAACATGCAGATCTGAGCAATGCTGTCACCTCATTCTGCAGTGCCTATGGTATTTTCTGTGATGCCCTGAGTCAGTCTGACTCCTTACTCTGTACTTTTTGAAGATGTCAGCCTGAGGAACCTTCACTTGAAAATTCAGAACACCAAGCAGTTCTCTCTGGGGACTGCCACATCACTTTGGCCTGCAGAATGAGGCTCCATCAGTTACATAGTTACTTTTCTTTTTCTTTTTTTTAATTTGGAAAATCCCCCGCCTCCATTCTTATACAAACTTTCTGCAGGACTGATTTCTAGTTGGAGGGCCATATACACATTTTCTTTCTCCTCATTGCAAGGTGGTTTGTTTTTCTCTGCCAACTCTGCATGCTGCCCTTTTTCAAGTCATACCCTAGCTGAAAAGGATTACATTCTTAAGCCTATTCCTGCTAGCTTTATAATGAAAGTAAGAGCCGAAATGGCAACGGAGTGAACACCACGCATATTTCTTCATCATACAGAAATCTCAAATGTTGAATGAATAATCAGGTAAGCAAATTGCACCAGCAACATTTCAGAAATCTGGATTTAATAAAAATCCAAACACCATCATCATCGCAAACATTAACATTTCAAAATATCCTTTGAATCAGGGTATCTTTAAGAAAAAGCAAATTATGCTCCTCTCTGTTGCAATCCCTTTACAAGTCGTCCCCTCCCTCCCCCACCCCCGACCAGTCAACCCGCAATCACCTATAATTAAAAGCTTTATTACTTGAAGCTTTAAAGCCAGAGAACTCTCTCTCTCTCTCTCTCTCTCTCTCTCTCTCTCTCTCTCTCTCTCTCTCTCTCTCTCTCTCTCTCTCTCTCTCTCTCTCTCTCTCTCTCTCCCTCCCTCCCTCTTTACCTCCCCCCCCCGTGTGTGTGTGTGTGTGTGTGTGTGTGTGTGTGCGCGCGCGCGCGCGCGCATGCGTGTGGGTGGGTGGGCATCAGTGGTGTTGTTGAGAGGGGGGCGTTAGTGTGTTGTTTTTCAAACCCAGTTTTGAACGCCCCCCCCCAGGCTATCTCATCTCCTCCAACTTCCCTCCACCTCCCCTCTCCCTCCTCTTTCCTCCAGCCAAGAGACAAGGATTTTCCATCGCCCAAGAGGCCATCAAATTTTAAGATTGCAAGGCACGACTTCTAATCTCATCCTCCGCGGAAAAGTACAAACAGTTCTTCAGACGAGGTCCCCCACCTCCCACGCGCTCCCCAGCTCTCCCTCCCTGCCTAGAACCCGACAGCCTCCCCAACACCTGTGAATCATCCAGAGGCTGAACCACCGAACTATTTGCATACCTCCTCCTGCCCTCCCCAGCTCTTGACGCACAGCAAGCAAAGACAGGATTATGTTGTATGGTTATTACTTCTAATCTCTTATCTGACCAGAAGTAGACATCCTTGCTCATACTTAGCCCTTAGCTTCGGAGGGTCAGCTATTGCGAGTGCCTGCCGAGGTTTGTGTATTGAGTGACCCTCCAGAATTCTGTCCAGTCCTAGCCACTTTCCCATTGGATGTCTGGACATTCATATACAGTCCCCTGGAGATGTTCTAAGAAACTCGAACATCACCCAAGCCCTGACTGCAAATTCAACCGGAAACTGCGTCATCTATTAGCCCTGGGCAAACAACTCTCAACTCAAAGCCCTGAGCCCTGCAAACCCGAGCCTGTAGGGTTAACTAGCTTCCCTCTCCCTTTTCCCAGCTCAAGTGCTATCTAGGTGATAGTTGCTCTGGCGTACTTTAAAAGAAAGTGCGTGCCTTTCCCCAACTGGCCATGATTAAATGAGAACTCCAAACCTGCTATGCTGCTTTGATACAACAATCAATCTCTCATAAAAATAGTAATCACTGTAACCTGGTCTCCTAAGAAGCTGGTAACAGAGAAGGGGAGATGCCTCTTCGGACCAACCCTCCTCTTTGGAGAAAATAAATCGCAACCGAAATCTATCCCAATCCTCTCTTCTACTCTGCCTTCCTCTCTGGTCTGTGACTCAACCAAGGCAAGTCAGCAGGGGAACGTTTTACATATAAATATTAATGTATTTACATTATAACTGTATATACATTACATACGCTCGTATATACACACATATATTCACATATGTATATCATAGGCAAAGGTATAGGCAATCAGGAAAACAGTCGAGACAGTTTTCCCAAGATCATGCTAAAATGGAGTCAAAAGAATCACCCCATTTAGATGTTTATAAAAGATTGAAATAAAAAGGTTTGCGGCAAAACTCTCGGAGAGCTGAGTCAAGCATTCCACACCTCCCGGCTCCTCCCCTAACGCCCCCAGCCGCCTTCCTCCCTCCGCCCTCCCCCAACACACTTCCTCCCCGCCCCTAGAGGAGCCGGCTATTAAAAGCTGCTGACGTCAAAGGAACGGCCATCTTTGATGAGGGCAGATCTCACGTTGCATTGAAGACGAAACCTCGGGGAGGTCAGGAGCTGTCTTTCCTTCCCTCCCTGCCCGGTGGCTCCTTCACTCTTGTGACCTGCAGGGATCGGCGGACAGCATCCTCTGGAGAAGCCAAGGTAAAGAGCCCCCTGCCCAGATCGTGGTCCTGGCCCTGGATGGCCGCATACACTGAAGGGACCGCAGCTGGCAGCCCAAGTGAGCCTGGACAAATACAAGTGTTGGTGCGCTTAGGGTGCGGTATTCCCTGTGTGCACGTCTGCCTAGACTCTTGCCTGGGGCTACATAAAAGTATTTTTGAGGTGAGCTGTTTGGAGAAGGAGTGAATGGGAACACTGCAGATGGCGCGGTGGGAAGAAACAGCGAGGTTGTGTGCAGAATAATAACTTACTCTTTTGAAACAGCCGTGGGACCCTCTTCCATCTTGAGATGCAGTTTTGGGATATGTTTAGGTTATTAGGGTTGTGGGTTTCTTTCCCTTTTTCCCCTTTAGAACAAAAAGCAAAAGCAAAACACGATCTTGTCGTTTGTTCTGTTGTGTTTAGGGCACTGCTACCCAAGGGAGATAAGAAAGCAGGGTGTGGGCGCTGGGGAGTCGAAAGGAGAAGGGGGGAGTTCCCGCCCCAGGCAAGATGAGCTGCGGCGACAGCAGCCTCCAAGCCCGGCAGACTTGATTTATGCCGCCTGCCCCATGTCAGCTACTAGCGGGAGGGTGGTGCTGGGTGGGAGAGCTCCTCGGAGGGTCGGAGCTGAGCGGTGGGGTCTCCTGGACGACTGAGGTGGCCGGAGCTCAGCACCCTGGACAGGAGTGCCCGCTTCGGCGCCCTGACCTTTCAGCACCGCGGACAGCGATCAGGCTGCAGCGCAGCATTGCCTGCTGCAGAGATGCCTGGCCAGGGCTGGAGGCCAAATTTTGTCTTTGAGATCTAGTTCTTACAGAAACTCTTCATAGAGCTGGCACAGTAGATTAAAAGGAAGATGGAAAAATAAATCCCGTCAACTGGGATTTATTTACAGACAATTGCCTGCTCTCCTCCTCACCTCCCACGTAGCTTCAAGAAATAATAGACTACTTGGAGAAACCTTCTGTATTTCTCCATGTGTCTTGCTCTAGATAGAAAATAAATACACTTTTAGAAATGGTCACTTATCCTCCATTATGACATGAAAAATGTTAACGTTTTTTTCTTAACACGGGAGAGATATGTCTGTTGATATTAGGTGGGCTGGAGCAGGCATATATGAAGATGCTAGTACAATCTGTTTATAGGACAGATTGTTCACTATATTTTATTTAAAAATATGAATTACCTAAATTAAATAGAACCAATTTTAGGAGTGAATCCCTCTTCTTTCTCCATTTATCCTTAAAACTGGGTATAAGCATGCATACATAGCTAAAACCAATGCCAATCTCTTTGGCCATGGTTTTGGAGTTAGTATATTTCCTATCAACACTAGTTATAGCAGATTGATTGCCTTAGATTTGACATTAAGAGTGATCATTCTTGGGAGAACCCAACCATGTCCTTCAGGGTTGTGCAGGTGAAAGAACCATGGTGCTAGGCTGAAATAGGAATCTGACCCCAAGATACACTGCAATTTCTATTATGGCACTGCGGGATTTTGCTGAGGTCATGATAACTATTTTCTTCTCTGAGGCTTGGAGACATTGAATGAGCCAGAAATCATTACAAGGATAAATATCTATTTGATTTAGATTTTCATAATTGTCATGAAAGTATCAGGACTGAAATTATAAGCATTCTACAGTTAGTAAACAAGAGTGATAGCTACGTATGTAATATATATATATATATATATGTATATATATACATATATATATCACTATGTAAGTGCTAGCATGAACCCTTTTTAAGACCCCCCTCCCAAATGTTTTGAATTGTGTTTATTTAGTCGTAACTCCAATCAAAATCTTCTGTGTTTTAGAGATAACTAAAATCCCTTGTATATGTAAAAGGTTTGTTTTATTCCCCAGTTATTTATGGGCTACTTTTGCTTTTCATGAAGAGCCATGTGTTTCCTGATATAATATTGTGTGTGCATGTAAATTGCTTCAGTGGAAATTTAATCAAGATTATGTAGCTACATGGGTGTTCATAACTTGGAAATCTTCAGATATAATAAACAACTATGTTTCACTGATGGAAGGTGGGGGAGGAATATGGACAGGAGTCTATTTAAATGCTCTAACATTATAGTGCACATAGAGATAGCTCTGCGTAGTTGCATCAAATGAAAAGCCTAATGCTGCCTGAATTATGTGCTTGAACACTACTAATTTCTGCTTGGTTTATTTGCCAGTGAAACACGAAGGAAAAAGATACAGGTCTGCCTTAAAGCTTTCAAAGGGTGCAGAGGTAATGTAGACAATTATATAGCTAAATATAGACCAGTTAGCTGAGAACATAAAGGAAATTGTAACTGGGACATGGATTTGATTTAATATTTATGTCACTGACCATCTTCATCAGGAAAATAATAAGATTTTTTTTCTTCACTTTAAGTTTGAATTTTGAAAATGCAGGACAATGTGATGAAAAAGGCAGAAGCAGAGGGGTGTGGGGACAAGCCAGGAAACAGTCGCTAGCCCCTGTGATTATACCTGCTTTTTTATTGTTTTCTACACTTTGGTATTCCCAACACAAAATAATTTACAATTTCTATAATCCTTCATGGTAAAACCTCCCAGGAATTTTACTTTCTAAAATATGCACAGCTTTAAGGCAAACTGTCCCTTTATTTATTAGAAGATGTTTCTAAACTCTGATTGTTAACCCCAGAGTAAAGGTTATCAGTTCACAATTGATTGCCCCTCCAATAACACCTAGCAACTGTGCAGCAGATGGCCTTCAGGAGAACATGTTGGCTTTGATCATTAGAAGAAATAAAAAAAAAATTCAGTCAAGAAATTGAAAGAGGAAACAAAAGAATATTGTGATTTTTAAATGATGCACTATCAAAAACAATGTTTCTTGTATTATGAGATTTTTTTTACAGCTCTAAAAAGGTAGGAAAAATCATGTTTTGGCCACAGCGCTGGATACATTTCTGCAATGTCATCCCTTGCCAGCAGGCAGCAACCTAATAGGACGATATTGATCAATCAGGAAGCACCAGGCACATAAATGAACCTCGTGTGAGGTATACAATTTCATGGTTATATGATTTTTAACCTCAGTAAGTTTAGCATCTAGCTATCTTAATGGAAATAGTAAGTAATAAAACCTATCACATAATACTAGAATGAAAAAGCAGAAAGACATCAGGAAAAATTAGTGTAAGCAATTCATTTCTAAGTAAATGTGATCAATAGTAAGGGATACAGTTTCATCAAAGGGCAGAATGAAAACAGTCATAGGACTTGAGCTGGCCTTGGAAGGTTAAAAAGAAATTAGAACGGTCTGCTAAGTAAACAACTTCAAGTTATGTAAGTGAAGCTATGTTCAGGGAACCCTGAAAATGTCTGTCCATTTGGACGTAGCTGAACGCTTGTGCGGAAACAAATTTCTAGAATAGGATTAGAGCGTCCTATGGAAGGCTTTGAACACCAAGCTTATATTTGATATCATACTCTAAAGTTGATTTCTGAGCAGAAAGTGATATAAATAGCAAAGCAACTAGGTTCTGGCTAACATCCAGCAATTGCTGTTGACAGAGTTTTAATTCACCGAAGTAGAGGGAAATGTTAGTTCATCATGGGAGATTCATCTTTAAAAAAAAAAAAATCCATCCTGCTTTTAAACATCATTTACCACCCCATTTTAGTGTATACGTATACCTACAGGGGCTTGTCATCCCTGCCCATAAACAAACTGTAGCTTCCCTTTCCCATTTTTAAATAGAAGAAATTATTTGAGATGAGCTCATGCAAAGGAAATTAAAAAGCAGGTCAGGAACCAGGTAATCTGAGGTCCTGGAAAGTGCATTTGAATGATAAACATAGTGGAGAACTCTCTTTCTCCCACCCTCAGAGTATTCCAAATTGGCAAATGCACTGAATGGAGGGCAGGGAGGGGTCAATTCTTGACGTGTTTCATGCTGCATGACAAATAGAACCAGGGGAGATGATGAGGAGAGGCGGGGATGAGCTGAGGTGGAGAACAGAACACATTTCTTTTCCAGCTACACTGACTGATTCTTGTTGGTCCCCTGTATTCAAGAACTAGGTTAACATCTGAACTACGTATATTTCCTTTTTAACTCTGTAGTTACCACTCTCATGATAGAGCCTCAAAATTCCAAATGCTGACAGAAACACTAAAGCAAAGGAGCCAACAGCATCATCACTGCAGAGAAAGAGACAGCAGTTACAAATATAGATTTTGTTACTTTCCTTCTGACTATGAAACTGAGATTTCCCTCTCTTGCTTTCTACCAAGACATTGGCAGGAGAAATGTGATGGGAAATGTTTTGACCTCCAGGCTCATTTCCCAGGGGAAATTGGGGAGGTTGTGCCATTTAAGCTGTAGGAGGAGACTGTCAAGCTGGGTCCAGAGGACATCTCTCAGGTAAGAGGAAAGGAAGAAATGAATCGCAGTGTCAAGGAAGGAGGACACGGTGAGTGGAGAAACTGGTTCAAAGAAATTAGTCTTACAAAAGGAAAGAGACTTCAAAATTGCTATTGTTGTTGTAACAATATCTGTGTTTTCTACATAATCATCTTCACTAAGATTGCTGCATTTCTCCCTGTGGAAAAATTCAAGTGGATTCTGATTTGAAATGAAGTATGCAAACTACAGTTAGATGTGTCAGATGTAAAATACTAAATAGCATTTAGTAAGTTATGAATTTGATTTAAAAGGATGGATGGAAGTACCTCAGGCAGTGACTAATCCAAAGTACTTTGGGGGATAAAGTGGCCTGAGCCACCCCTGCTGCTAATTCACCAAATGTTGGTAACGTTACTCATCATTTTGGTTTTTGTGAGTGAGGTAGCTGAAGTAGAGACAAGACAGGCTAAATGATATATCAGAGAGCAGTGTAAGCGAAATATACTGGGTTACTTCATGTCCATCAGTTTTCCTACTGATCAAATGAATCACAGTGAATATACATTGATTTATTGTAAAGCTAAATAGATGACAGATAGATAGA